AAAGATGGTCCTTCGCGCCAGAAAGATAGGTCATCACGCGAGAAAGATTGGTCCATCGCGCCAGAAAGATGGGCAATCATGTTAGAAAGATGGATCATCGCGCGAGAAAGATGGACCATCGCTCAAGAAAGATGGTCCATCGTGCCAGAAAGATGGTCCATCGCGCAAGAAAGATGGTCCTTCGCGCAAGAAAGATGGATCTGCAAGAAAGATAGGTTTTAACTCGCAAAAAACTTTATGCATATCCTAAATATTTTTATAAAGCTTTTGAGAAACTTACGAAGTGCAGCAAAAAAAAAAAAAAAAACAGACGCATTAGGAAGCGAAAAATGCACTCAGCAGATAGGAAATACCCACTTGTATGAAGAGCGCGCTTTATAGTCTTTGTTTCCTATTCGGCTTCGGGACATCACCTAGCAGGATCAAAGTCGTTGTCCAACGTCTCTCAATCAATATGGGAGACAACTAAAGAAGTTGTGAGCAGAGCCAATAGCAAAAAATTTGCTGGGAGAAGAAGAATGGGCTACGGTCCAAACATTGAAATGATCAACTGAAAAGAACCTGTGAAACTATGTGATGCATATATTATCAAAAAGTGTTGTCATCATGAGTTAAAATCATGATTGCGCATTCAAAAAAGTGTTGTTATCAACATGATCATGCATATATTATTGTTGCCTATACATTTAAGTTGTTTTCAAAATATCAACTTTGAGGCTACAAAACAATCTTTGAAGGCAACATACCTTGGCTCTTAGTAACCTAACGGTGAAAGGTTTACTGTTATGAAGAACCACTAAAGGTTTATTGAAAGAGTATGCGAGATGAATCTTTTTAGGCTTATAATGATGATATTGCACAAAAGTTGCATTAAGGATTTATAGTGCTCTAAGGCAACGTGACCAACTAGTTGAATGTTATCATTTATAAGGCATTAGTTGATTTTAGTTAAACCTCGTAAGATATTGGTTACTTTTGCTAAGTGAATAATGCTTTGAGTGAAAGATTATTGAATGCTTAAGGAATGCATACTTATTGAGGCAAATGATTATTGAGGAAGCTTTTAGATGACTGAATTATTATTCCTCTGTGATCAAAATCATGTCGATGAAATGATTATAGCTCAGAGGTACCTATCAAGTTGCTTATGATGGATTGAAAAGTTGAGCCAAGTGTGATATGATATAATTTCAAATGGGTGTTAGAAAAACTATAGAAATTAACTATCCCATTAAAGATCAACTTCAACGATGGATTGACAAAGTTAATATTGTGAACTTCCTTAGACATATTTTAAAGAGATTGACATTGATTTTAAAGTCTCTGTATGGTTGATTTTCATGGACTGAAAACACAAGAATATCAGTGAATATCACGCGGAAAGGAGGCTTACCATAAAGGCATTAGGCAGATGCATATGGATGTACATGATATTGACAAAATCGAGTCTGAGCACATCCTAGGCTTACGAATCATCTTTATGTATCATCTTAGTCCTGTTACAAGGGGTGAATTATGACAAACATAAAATAAGGCCTGACAGGCTATCATATATTGAATTTTTCTGTGATTTTTTCAAGCAACAAGATAGCATATTGACAGAAGGTATCATGAATGCTTAAATCACTATTGTGATCATACTTCTTACGAGATTACATAACTTGTAAGATGTTCACGCGATAAAAATCGTGACATATATGACTTATTTTGACAATTTTATGTCTCTGTTGTGAAACTCACGAAAGTTGCAGGGACCCATGAATAATGAAATGGGAAGATATGAATCTCGCCTACAAGGATCCATGAACAGTAAAGATATGGATCTTACTGTGAAATATTTGCACAATTGTGAAATATGTGAAATCAATCTCTTTGAACTTACCATTTTCAAGTAAAATCACTCTATTCTTTGAAGAATTATAGAGATTGCAGGAACTCAAGACTGATAAGAGGCACAAAGCGCAAACAAGAATCTCGCGAGAAACGCAGATAAACTTGGAAAATTTTACAGTTGATATATGCACAGTTCTTATGAATTATTTTTAACTGATTTGCACTACTTTCATTGAATTTATCATCTTAATGATATGATATTATTATTCTGTGAGATCCGTAGAAATTGCAGGTTTCATCAGACAATAGAGATATGATCCTCGCCTACAACCTGCTAAAAAGCGCCTAAAGCTCTTAAGCTTAGGTTTGAAGACGCTTGAGGGTAAAGCCCGACAAATGTTAAAAACTCAAGTCTTAACCTGAGGATAAAGCCTAAGGGTTAAAACTTAAGTATGAAGCGAAAGGAAGCTAATAAAACTTCCTCCAACAAGGAAGCTAATGAAACTTCCTCCAATTATGAAAGAAAGATAATGAAACTTCCTCCAACTATGAAAGGAAGATAATAAAACTTCCTCCAACTATGGAAGGAAGATAATGAAACTTCCTCCAACAATGAAAGGAAGATAATGAAACTTCCTCCAACTATGAAAGGAAGATAATGAAACTTCCTCCAACAATGAAAGGAAGGTAATAAAACTTCCTCCAACAATAAAAGGAAGGTAATCAAACTTCCTCCAACAATGAAAGGAAGGTAAATCCTTAACTGGTTAAAACTTCCTCCAAGATAAAGGAAGGTAAAACCTTAATTGGTTAAAACTTCCAACAACATCAAGTACAAGCTCAGCGACATATGCGGCATGCGGCATCAAAAGTTCCATAAACTGTGTCACCGAAAAGCATAACATACGAAATCAAACCATAGAGCATGCAAAATAGAAAGGTACGCAAAATATATGAATTGTGAATTATGAACTGTATTAAAATGCAGGATACAACTATGAAGTTCTCAAACATCCATACAAAGTACAGACCATAGTTCCAGATAAAGAAACAAGCGCAATGAGTTTTCCAGGTTGATAAACAGATATGTCATCTCGCAAATTTATACATCTCACTACTCATGCTCTCAGCATAAGCAGCAAGCTGAGGGGCTTCTGATCTGGAATAATAATAAAAGACAAGGCCCAAAATAAAAGCCTTCACTATTAAGAGAGATGACAGTCAATGAAGGCCGCAACTTCATCTCATCAAGCTCCACAATAATAAAACTCATCTCAGCAAGCTTCGCAACATTGAATATGAGAGCCAAACTACTTTGGCACCAAGACAAGCAAACTTCATCCTATCTCAGCCACCTATAGTAACCAATTAGAAGACTTGCCGCCTCACCACTTGAAAGCTGGTCATCTCCCAAGCTGCTCATCTCTCCACTATAAATATATACATGTTAACCACAATGTACACATCTTTTTATGCATAATGAAACCTGTTTGAACCATTTCTGACTTGAGCGTCAGAGTGTCTTGCAGGTACACCCCCCTCATCTTGTTCCATTGAAGACCCATGGGTTAAAGCTACTCCAACTGCAAGATGCTCTGACCCAAGGCGGTTCCAGGCCATTTGTGTAGAAGAAGATCACATGGTGAGCCCAGTTGCAAAATCGATTCTGATCAGTATTAAAAATAAACATATTAATAAGTTGGCATGTGAAAATTTGACTTCTTCAGTTCATATGTTAAAAATGTACACTAACAAAATTAGTTTGAGAGAAATCACTTTCCAATTTATTGATTTTTTTTTGGTAAAGTCAGTTTGTGAGAAGTCCAAGTCCGAATGTCATTGGAAGGAAAAGCATTTCAGCAGTTATTGTAAAAAGTGAGTGAGGTGATTCGAGAAACAAAAAAACAGTAATAAAAAACTCATGAAAAAAACTTATTTTTTTTTTTGGTTTTAACTTTTTCAAAAAATTCATCTATCATATTTTTTCTTTAAAGAATAAAAAAAAAAAGAAGGGAAATGATATTGTAACCATCAAGTTGTGTTACTACCAATCAATCTCACCGTTAGATAGATTATGTTGATTCAGCGGTTATATTTCTTTCCATCTTTGTATGGTTATGATTCCCCATATTTAAAGTGAAAGCATTAAATATGGAGAATCATAATCATACAAAGGTGAAAATAAATATAAAGTATTAAATTTGGAAAATCATGTCCATTCAAAGATGAAAATAAATATAACCGTTTGATCAACATAATCGATCTAACAGTGAGATTAATTGGTAGTAACTTAGTAGTAACACAACTTGATTGTTACAATACAATATCTTTCCCCAAAAAGAATACAAAAATCATCATTCCATTAAGACATGTAATATTTAAGGGTTTGTTAGTGTAGATAAGTATTTGGGACAGAAATCATGGTGCTTTTGTAATTTTAATTCATTTCAGGGTTATAATAGTTTTTATATTTAATTTTTTTAAGATTTCAATTCCAAAATGACGTTTTAAGAATAAATGCAGATAACTTATGGGAAAAATATCTATCCTTTTAAGGATATAAGCTTATATCCTTTTAGATCCTGACCGTTGATTTCTGTCCATCAACGGTTATAATCTATTGGGTTAAACTTAATGAGCCAAATTTATTATTAATTAATTAATAATTTTGATTCAATAAATTATAACCGTTGATGGACGAAAATCAACGATTAGAATTTAAAATAATATAAATTTATAGGGATAGGATATTGTGACACCCAAGTTATGTTACACCCATGTGACACCCAGTTAATCTCACCGTTAGATCGCTTATGTTGATCCAACGGTTATATTTATTTCCATCTTTGTATGGTCATGATTTCCCAAATTTAATATTTAATATTTATTTCTACCTTTGTATGGTTATAATTTCCCATATTTAATGCTTTCACTTTAAATTTAGGAAATCATGACTATATAAAGATGGAAATAAATATAACCGTTGGATCAACATAAGCGATCTAACGGTGAGATTGACTGGGTGTCACATAACTTGGGTGTTACAATATCCTATCCCAAATTTATATCCTTTAAAATGACAAATGTTATTCCCTTAAGTAACTGTTTAAACATTTTTTTTTTCAATATTTAATTCATTTTTAAAATAAATTTGGTGTTGGAGGAGAGTGAACGAATTTGGGGGCGAGAGTAGTTGTAGAGACTAGCCGCCGGAACAACACATTGCAAATCTAAGAGAGAATGAATCAGATTAAGATAGGGTTGGGTGGGAGTGGTTGCGCATGGCGGAGGAGCATGTCGACGGTGTCGAATGCCGTCGCGGAAATTATGGGCGTGGGCAAGACCAAGACCCGGAAATCTTCTAGTGAGCTCTGCAACTTCCTCGGTATCCCTCATCAATCTCGTTCCGAAACTGCTTTGATCATCTCCAAGTTTATCAAACTCTACAATTTAAAGGTTTTTTTTCCTTCCTCTCTCTTCGCACGCTAACTGTTTGATCATTGTTCTCACTCACACACATGCCAATCTATTCGAGCATTAGTATTAGATTATTCGATGCTACATTATGATTACTTTCTGCCTGATGGTTGGGGCGTTTTTGAACTATTGATGCTTCTCTTAAACTGGCTTTTAGGGTGAAAACTGAATACTATGTTGAATTTGTGTATTTTCCGTGGCAATTCAGAAAATAACCAAAGGACAAGTCGTACATGCTTGATTCTACTTAAGGAAGATTTTGAGTTCAAATTATTGTGAATGCAAAAAATCCTCTTTGGAAGAGCTAGCCTACTATGATGTGGATGTTCCCTTCTCGAACATGATTAAAAAATGAAAATAACCTAGTAGAAAGATGTTATTTATTATTAAGAAACAATCTAAGAACAGTTACCATATCCTGTTGGAACTTTTGGATGAAGTCAGTCACTCAAGCATGACTGGACTATTGGGTTGATGAGAAATATGTTTAAGAAACAAGGCCTCTTTATTCATTTTATTTCAACTTTGTTGTAATCATGCAAATGTTGGAATTTACTCTCTTATGATTTATATGTGCTCTAGTCATTTACACTTGAGCATTGTTATTGGTACTCGCTTGCAGAGTCCTGGTATTAAAAAGGATAAGCTTTGGGAGCAGAATTTGCAAACACTGTTACGTGGCAAAAGCAGCATTGGTTTTCCTGAGGTTGCAAGAATCCTGTCTCCAGAATTCAGCCAGGGTGCGATTAATATCAGAGATAATAAGATGGATTCTTTCACGGATAACACAAAACCAAAGGGGAAAGCCGTACAAAAGAAAGGGAAGTCAAAAAAGAAGTAGGGCTTGTATATGGTTTTCCTCTCTTCTAGGACCCAAGTTTATTTCAAACTTTCTGTGTTTGCTTAATCTGCACGATAATATTATGAGAGAATTCCAATGACAAAACTAGAGTTTGACAACTAGTTTGGCTATTGTGTTGTTGTCCTTCAAAATAAATAGCATTCCTCTCTCTACTCTTCTTTTAGCATGCTCGTTAGGCTTAATCCAACAGAGAGATGGTTTATTGCTTCCATATTTTTTTGAATCTATGGTATTGGTATGGCAAATATTGAATTATGATGTTATGATTGTAGTTTAGCAATTATTAACTATATGTTATCTTATGCATATGAGCTTTTTTTTGGCATTCGTTCCAAGTCCTTTCCTTTAGGCCCCTTGGCCTTTCTCTTCGACAATGGTAAGCTCATATAACTATTACTTTCACACCCTGTACCATGGCTAGCCCTTCGTAACTTTGTTGAAATTTCACTATTCAGCTTATAGCTCCCGGCTACCTCCAGCATTATTTGTTGGTTGGATGAGGAGGGGGGATTGAAGAGCTAGAACCCAGTTTTTAAATATATTATCTTGTGCAGGCAACAAGGGTTGATTCAGTTGGCAAAATTGAATGTTATCATTTCAAAAGTATTGGGTTTGATTCAAGTGAATGGTCCTTTTTATTAATATGTTACCCCTTAGTACTGAAGTAAACCTTTGTTCAGATTTGTGACATGCTTTGTCCTTTGAATATGACAATTTCTTTTTCCTAAACATTTTTTCATTACAAACCAAAAATAAAGAAAAAAATTGTCCTCTGCAGAAAACCTACTAAAGATCTAACAGAAAAACTAGCGAAAAAAATAGCAAACCAGTTGAATCTTTATTAAATTGGACGAAAAACTGTTGGGGTAGTTTGGTGTTTCTGTTTCAAATCTTAAACGAATTTTTTTTTTTAGCTGAATTGTCAAGATTTAATTAAGGAAAAAAGGGTCAAAGGCTCAAAGCATTTCATTCGAGTGTTTCAATCCAAATATTTAAGAACAGTTGTTTCTAAAGTATTCGCATGCGTTCTTTAGACAAAGTGTGAGATAATCCCAAAAAAAAAAAAAAAAAAAAAAAAAAGGCAGAAATATCATGAGGGTTTTATAAGAATAAAATGATCAGCAGTTAGGTTGGTTTGTATATAAAAATGGCAAGGAGCAAAAACAATATTTTTCTCGTAATTATTAATTTCAAAATTTCGTACTAAAACCGCATTTTTCTTATAAAATAAAATTTTTGAAAGAATAGTTGAGAGCAATATATTATATTTAGAGAGGAACAAGCGGGAAACCGAGGAGGGGAAAAGCTCAAACAAGTAATTGTAAATTCCAATTGTATAATTGCAGACGTCCGGTTCCACATAAACTCGAACACATAAACCTCTAGGAACGGTCTTCACCCAATCACAATCTGCCACGTGGTAAATAATTGCAGGAACTAATAAGCATCGAAAAGTTCCTGAGGGAACAACGAGTTCGACGAGGAGGGAACCCAAAAGCCTCTCTCGGGTTTGGTTTGCTACAACTCTTTAGGGTTTCAGAATTTGAAAACGAATAGGGTTTTAGAGTAGCGATCATGGCAGCAGCTAGGGTTTTCGGAGCATGCGCCGGCAGAGCGCTCATGGCGGCGGCGGCGAAAGGCGGAGCCGCCGCGGCCAAGAAGGTAGCTGCTTCCGGCGGTGAAGCCACCATCAAGACGGCGAAGAAGACGGTATCGAACAGGAGCCGTTCCAGCCCCAACGCGGGCATTCAGAAGGTGGTTCCGGTCTCTTCTGAGCTCGGCAAGTTCCTCGGCTCACCCGAAGTCTCGAGAACCGACGCCGTCAAAAGAGTCTGGGAATACATCAAGCATCAAAATCTTCAGGTCTTCCTTTTCATTTTCACTCAATGCTGCTATTTCTCTTTGCGATCTTCGTCTTTCTAGCTGTTTTTTTTTTCTTATTTCGATTTCTCTGCAGAAAATACTGTTTATATTAATGTGCTTATTATTTAATTGGATCATCTTTTTTTTGTAGTCACAATAATGTGTGTTGCTGATTATCGTGTGAAACCATGAGGTTTGATGCTAGGTTTAACTTTATATTGGATGTTTGTGCTTGTTAAGGTGAGGATACTAGTATGTTGCATCAGTGAGGCTCATCGTTTAGTTTCATGCTTCTCTGTCTGTGATGATAATGATCTGTTATATGTAATTTTTTTATGTAACAAATGCAAGGTACTCAGTATAAAGTTAATGTCAGTTATCTCTGTTTCGTTGTTTTGTGGCTTTTAGGGTTTTGCCTTTTTAGTGCGTTTCATCTAGTATCCTACGTAAGTTATAATAATACTCGTAACCATGATGTATTTTTTTAAGATAGTTATAGTGTATTATGTAATGATAATTTGATTTTAGAATGCAGATAGTTTATGAACTTTATTTAAGCAGGTTTGTGATGTTTGCTTGTTTAGCTCAATTCTGAGCTGCTAATGGCAATCTTAATCATTGTTGGCTTTTCTTCTGTTTATGCTGCCTTTTTTCACCCATGTATGTTTTCTGTCTTTTTCTCTAATCTCGTCATAAATTTTCTTTTGTAATTTGTGATTTTTCTGTCAATAAACTAGTGGAAGCTTTCATGATATTCACTTATAGAAGCGGGGTAGTTTGTCCTGGGTTATGGAAACTGCTTCTCTTGTTGTCTGCCATTTTTGTCTCTTTTCAGTGTTGGCTGTGTCTACAATGGCATGACAGAGCTATTCTTTTGCAGAATCCTACAAATAAGAAGGAGATCTTTTGTGATGAAAAGTTGAAGACCATTTTTGATGGGAAAGATAAAGTAGGGTTCACAGAAATTGCCAGATTGCTGTCTAACCATTTTGTGAAATCAGGCTGATGTTCAGCTTTGTTGGACTCTTCGTGATGGTAACTTGTTCTAGTACATTAAGTAGGTCTTTTTATCTTCAAGTACATGGTTTATGATTAACCGCTAAAGAAACTTGGAAATTTGTAATGTCACACTTATGGGTTTGAACGTGGTGTTATTTTGTCTCACTGTCTGTTATTTCACTTTGTTAGGATTATACTCGCTTCATGCTTTATGCTTCCAAGCCATATGTGTTCATTACTTCATTTGAGTCCTTGGTTTTTGACAAGCTAAATTGATTTTTTTTTCTTTTAATGATAGTAGTACATAAATGTATACGTTTATGTGTGTTTGGGATCAAAAGAAATATACTCGGTTATATAACTCATATTTTTTGCTTAATATGACGATTAACTTTGTCAAACGCACTTCTAATTTCTTCTTATATCCTCTTATTTAAATTCAATTGAATAGAAATTAATGTTAGGATATAGTTGAATTTGCCAATTTGGGTATAGAACTAGGGTTTAGTTCCTTGTAAACGAAAATATAAATATAACAAGCAGCTATTTTTATAAATAAATGAAATTTGTGTCAATAAAATTAGGGAAAAACACTTCTTATGTTATATGATAAGTGTTTTCTCACGTTGTATGAGAAATGTTTTCTCATGTTTTGATCCCTTCAATTTGCATGCTAAGCTTTTTGTTTTTTTGTTTTAAATACGTGTGGAGCTTATTACTAGTTGAGTCACGACACGAGAAAATAATTCTCATGCAACGTAAGAAAATTAAAGCCTATAAAATTATCTTGTTTTTCACTTAAGGCACTTTATTTATGGTTGCAATATAGCTTACTGTTTCTTTTCATATGTCAGGGTTTGCCTTGTTGTGTTTGCTTTAGAAACATGAACTATACTTGTCTGCATATTGAGTTAGAAATGTGGATTATTCTAGTTTACAGATGCAATTTACTTTATTTTTTTAAAGTACTTGGAAACTCTGTTTTGATAAATTGTTTTACAAATCGTTCTGGATTTGGGGATCGGCCGAAGGGCAATCTTTGATCAATTTTGAATCGAACACAACCTATATTATTTAAATATTTAGTTTTGAAAAGTTTCATAATTTATGTAAGAAATACTCTTCCGTTTACCGAAAAAGAAAAAGAAAAAGAAATACTCTTCCATAGTTGTACTTTATAGGATTGAAATAGAGGTAGTTTGTAGAAGTGGTTTTATTTATGAAATGTTCTAACATTTTTTTTTATTAAGTGCTTAAGAATTTAATCCTTATTTTTTTGTCTTAATTGAATGAAAACTTTGCTTGCGTTAAAATCTCATTGTAATGGTACATATTCATCTGTACTAGTGGGCATATATTTGCCGCTGGGAATTTTACTCTATGTCGAGTTTTCAGATTGCGTTACCCGGGCCTATTATTGAAGATGCCCCTAGTTTTGCAGTCGCTATTGAAATCTTGAGGATTGTATATTCCATTGTGTGAGTGAGTGGTAATTCATTCCTTTTATTGCATTAGCAACACTTAGAAGTGAAAAAGCGGATAACCTGACCTGCTCGGCGCTCGTCGTCAACCCATCTTAAAATAACCGAGCTTGTCTCATCTTGTTTTTGAAAATTGGTTAAATTTTTTAACCCATTTCGAACCACTTCCAACCTGTATCATCCGCCAACATATTAAAAAAGTAAATTTTTTTAAAAATTTATACTTCCAATAAATATAAAAGGTATCAAATGAAAATAAGAGGTATAAAAAATATTATTAATTAATGTTTTTTTTAAAAAAAATTAAAAAGTAAAATTAAAAATTAAACTGGCGGATAAATTCACAAGTTGAACTCATTTTGACATGCTCTTAAGTAGGGTAGGTTCAAGCGGGTTGGTGTATTTTTGTCACCTCTACGATAGTAATGACTAATGAATTTAAGCAATCTACCAAATTTGAATGAAATTCGTATTAACATATTGTTAAAAAAATAAGTGCAATCTAGTTGATTCGACCCATGGCAACATTGAGGGAAGTAAATTGGGAGTTACTTGTGGATTGTGGAGAATCTCATTGAAATCTATTTTGTGAAGCTTGTTGAATGGATAACCAAAACCTACTTTTATCCAGAAGGGATGGTGGATAAAATAATAAATAAGTTTGAGAATAGTAAGGGTTTGAACTTATGAAAAAAAGACTAATTAGTTTTTAATTTAAAAGGGTATGAAGAAACCTCCTAAGAATCCAAGAAAAAAAAAATCCTTTAATAAAGGAAAAAATAAACAAAAGGAATTTAACTATGTACTTTAGGGGATATATAAAAGTAAAATTACCGAGGAGTTGTCTCATACAACACACACACAAAAAATAGATGAAATCCACCAAAGAAAAAAGAGAAAAAATAAATAAATCTTTGTTACAATAAACTAAATAAATTTTAACAACTTCATAGTTTTTTTACATATTTATTTATTTTATCCCAACATCGGCCAATTTTCTAATTTAACATTTATAATTTCGTATTTTACCCTATGAAGTAAACCATTTCATAAGAAACGAATTCAAACAGAAGAAAGGAATGCCAAATCTTTGTTACACGAACGTCCATTAAAAAACCATATAACTAGTACAAAAGACTGATGGCGCACTAATTTGTAGCTTCCTATTTAATACCGCACGCAACTTAGTATGAATCAGACTGATGAACACAGTGACTATAATGATGACATTGAAAACGGCGTTTACTATTTTGGCATCCCTTGGCAAAGACTTGAGATGAATGCTAGTGATAATTTGCAATGAGCCATTCAATGCTTGTGGCTTCTGCTTCTCAACTTATGATGTCTTTCATTATGATCAGAATTATCAGATGAATAAGAACGCTCATATCTTCTCTTTTCACTTCTATGATATCCTCCATCACCACCAGAATCCTTAGACGAGTAACAGCGCTTTTTTCTGTTTTGTTTACTCACATCACGCTCAGGTGTATTGCGGTGCTTTTGTTTGATCCTTTTCCTTCGATCATGCTTGTCAACATCAGAATCTTCAGACGAATAAGAATGCTCAGAGCAGCACTTCTGACTTCCATCGTAGCGATCAAAAACATAACTTGTGTTATTTTTTTGAGAATCGCAATGGGCTATTGATGAATGCTTATGGTTGCTCCTTTTGACCTTGGGTTGTCTTTGGTGATTATATTCATCCGAATAATAAGAATGCTCATCCCTGCTATTATGATTTGCATGATAACCTGCAGTACCAGAATCCTCGTGCAAATAAGAATGTCTTTTTCTGCTATGTTTCCTCTCATGCTGTTGTATATTCTTTCTACTTCGATCATCCCTGTCACTGTCAGAATCTTCAGATGAATAAGAATGCTTATCGATGTTCTTGTAATTTCTGTGGTGCCCATCAGGACTATGCCTATGCCCCTCAGTTGAAAAAGAATGCCTTTGTCTGCCATGTTTACCCCGGCCATGCCTAGGACGATCAGAAACTTTGGGCGAAAAGGAATGCTCTTGTCTAGTCCTTCTACTTTGATCATTCCAGTCATTCTCCGAATCTTGTGATGGGTAGGAACTCTTGTGTCTGCTCTTTCTTTGATCTTTTTCAGAGACTGAAGTTTCTGATGAACTAGACTTTGCATGATCTCGCTTCTTTTTGTTTACCTTATCCTTTTTTTTCTTAGACCTCCTCTCTCCATCATCAGAAGATGCTTCACTTTCTGAATGTACTAGTTGCTGTTTTTTATGCTTGCACTTTTTGGATTTTTTTGGTTTCTTAGAAAAGTTGGTCAATAACTCGGGGATATTACCCATACTGAGAAAACCTACAAAATAGGGGACGATTATGGTTGACTTGGACAAATATCCAAGACTTAATAGGCAATCAAATTACTTTCTAAAATAAGGGCTTCTAGCAGATACCTCCATACTCATCAAATATGTCCTCCTCAGCAACTATCTGCTGGTTGGGATCATCCGGTTTGAACCCTCCACGAGGAGGACTGATTCCTGGCCTCTGCTTGAGCTCCCATTTCAGAGGCTGCATTGTTTGCCAAACAACACAATAAAATAGAAATCAATATTACCATCTTGCCAGGAAAAAAATTAAAAAATAAAGTGATACACATCTTCATTGCATCTAGACTAAAATTTGCATGACAATAACTCAAGGATGCATTACCCAACAGCAAACAATGCCACCATAAAGGACATAAAACTTTCTTTAGATTTTAGATAATCTGAGAGGTTGAATTCTCTAAATCCTCTTCACTTTTTTTCCGTTCCAAGTTCTTAACTATTTCCTCTGAAACAGTGCATATTTGGTTTTAGTTATTTTGCTCGATAAAAGCTTTCCAGGCAAAACCTCTCTCTAAAAACATTTTCATTTTCAGCTTTTACAAAAAAAAAATAAGCTTCCCTAAACACACTCTTATCAAAGATTGGGCATTGCTTGTACGATGATAGAGCAAAACTCTATTTAAAAAGGATTAGAAATGCATGGAACTATGAATAATGATGGAGAGGAAGCATTTTCCCTTCTATAGTATGAAAAGAATATCGTTAGAAACTGGTGGATACTAATCGTTATTGCTTGCTTAAATTATCTCACATTCAACAATTGGTTGAAATGAATTAAGGTCCCAAAGATCTTAAACTAAGTAAAGATTGGGATTGAGATAAAGGAAGACAGGCAGAAATGGCATTTTTGCAAATGTAATTCACAGCAAATATGAACATCAGTTTGTACTCAGATGTAAGCCATCTCACCATTATGTGAGCTATATTCTTTTTATAACAGAGTTATGATACATATATAGCAAATTATTGGCTTCAAGGCGTAATTGAGTTGAAGAACAATGTATTAATTATTTAAGGGAAGGCTGAAGAAAAGAAATACCAAGTAACATATATTCAAACTAGCAAATTTGTCAACAAAAAATTAAATAACTTACAAAAATTCAATTAAATCAAACTTTACCGCTGCATAAGTGTATCAATCCACAATGTCAAGACAAAATTGTAAAATTTCTCAAACAATAGTTCAATAAAACGAGTAAAGGACCTCAGTAGGATCTGTATGAGCAAGAATAGCATTCAAGGGGTCATCTCTTTTCAATCTGCTCTCTTCATTAGGCATTATAGCATCCTTCAAAGGACACTCACGATCACCACTTTGGTGACCATAGGTCCCACATCTTAAACATTTTACATTGCGAACTTCAACTCCAAAAGGTTTCACCCTGCCAGGAACTCCTGTTTCCAGCCTAAAAACCATTCAGTTACTAAAAGTACAATTAAATAGGTTCACAGCAATTCAAGGGGTCTTACAGCAGCAATTTAAACTAGAAACACACTTGCATGTCAAAATGTAGTGCATGAAGTTTGGTTTTCTGAAATACAACAGTAAAAGCTAAAAATCTGTGGCGATCAGGCAGAACTTTTATCAGTCTGTCAATTACCAAAACCAATCTAGGATGCACTTGAAACTAAAGATTTCAGTCACTTTCAACACCTATGTTGTGACTTAATCATTAATACCTAGCTCCCTTCCATGATGTAACAATTACCAATAATTTCCCCCCTCCCCTACAATTGAGCAATGCCCTATGTGGGTTTGAAACTGTGATTTCAACATACATAGTTGTTCTTAATAGGAGATTGAAAGAATGAATTCCTCTAGTCACTCTATAAGTTTAAACTTTAAACCAAGATGCTTCTGTGGAATCAAAGTGATGATGTGGATCCTACGCACTCAAGGTTGATATCTTTGATGATGCCACGTCAACATAGTTTACTTGTCCAACAGTTTAGACAAAAATTAATAATTAGGAGGAAGAATACTATATAAACGGGTTGTGCAATATAACTAAACAAAAGACAGAAAATAACAGTAATTGACATACCTTGGCGCATTTTTAAGAACTTCGAATTCTTCTTCAGTTGGTAGATGACGCCCAAAAACATCTTTCGGCCTTGGTTTCTTCTTCTCTTCACTCAAATTCATGGAACTCGATGCCCTAGGAAGTAAATGATTTACCAACATATTTAATCACTCAAGAACTGAAAACTAGTTACAGAGTAGTTTGATAATTCAAAAAAATAAAAATAAAATCAAGGCAAAGGGAAAAAGAGGTACATTGAAGAGGAAGGTCCATGAGCATTTGGGTCTTGAGGTTGAGGCTCCTTACTAATCTCCTCCATTTTCTTCTCATCATTCATCTCCGCAGCTTTGGCACTTTCGGCGTTGTAACCAGGAGGACGAACATACATAAAGCTAACAGCTTGCATCAACTCCACCTACAAACACACACACACACACACACCCCATTAAGAAACCTAAATTAAAATCCAAAACAAAATGCAACCCATGAAAGGAAATGAAGTGATAAAAAAAGGGTTGGGTGCAAAATGGAACCTTTTCTTTCTCCTTCTTGGAGATGAGAGCTGTCTGGCGAAAGAACTCTTGCTCATGAGCATACTGCAAATGCAAAGAGAATAAGGGTAATTGAAACTGAAATTTGAATTGGAATTGGGTGGAGGAGGAAGAAGGGTGGAATACTTGCCTCACGTGCGACCTCATCGGAACGGCGTTGGTGGTTTGCGTGGGTTTGTTCGGCGATCCACTTGCGGCGTTGATTGGGGTAAGAGAGAGGGTGCCATGGCTTCTGGTTGAGATAAGAGTGGCTCCATGCGGTGCCTGATTTGGTCTTGTAATCGACCTCTCCGCCACCCTTGTCATCGGAGAATCTCTTGCTCAGCCTTATGCCTCCTCCTTCCTCACCCTCCATCGTGTCGTGTCTTCTTTTCTCTTCTCTTTCTCTCTCCTCAGCACAAAACACAACTATCGATTCGTTGGAGCGTCGTTTTTTTAATTTTCTTTCCCTTTGTTTTCCACTATTTTATTTGGTTATACTTATTATTATTTTAATCTTTATTATTCTTATTATTATTAATTACGGTTGAATTAATTTAAAATTAGAGGTTAAGAAATGAAAAAAATTAATTATCATTAATTTGAAATTAATTTAATGGTAACTAATCAAATAATATGAAATAGTAAAATTAAAATGATAAATATATTATAAAATAAATATAACTTTCCCCATTTTATTTTATCTATTCACTACTTGATAATTAACCATTAATTATGCATTTCCTTTAAATCCTAAAGAAAACCAATAGTTATCTTACCGGTATATTTTACGGGTTGTCCAAATACAATATTTATAATTATAATTTTTCTGTCTAATAAATAAATATTTTGTGTATATTTAAATTAATTTAATTTTTCTATGAAAATTATACTCAAAATATTTCAAAAAAATATTTAATTAATAATATTAAACATAATTAAATAACGTATATTGAGAGTCGTAATTAAAATTTAATAATTATATAATTTATTTTATTTTACTCGTTTATAATTATGACAGTAATAATGGACAATAAGAATGATGGAAGAATTTTAATTATAACACTAATATAGTCACACAGATCATACTGAAAGGATTTGTTTCAAATCATGATGGGAAATTTGGCTTGGGCCAGAAAGTGCTTGTGGTGTTTTAAATTCTTGCACCATAGGTAACTAAAGTTTAGCTAAGGGTGTATGGGACCAACCTTAACCTCATGTCAAAACAACTCAAGTCCAACGGACAAACTTTTTTGTTTTTTTGGTAGGGAACAAATATAACAGTAAAAATGCAATGACAAACTTAAATACTATGATAAAATATATGGGTTGGAGAATGGATCCTCTCATGTGAAAAAATGGTCAACTACTTTTTCACATGAGATGATCTACTCCAATGAGTTGGGCTGAGAAATTTGAAGTAAGTTCAAGCGTGATTTAGACGGGATAATGGCTCAAGTCAACTACGAGTCTAATTTTTAATTATTCATTCCCATACAAATAATCTTAATGGATCAAACCCAAACGAAGACTTAACCAATAATAATAAACGCATTATTGTGTGTGTACTTCATCCTTATGAATCCCCTAGGAGGACCTGATGACCACCTTATCAGCCAATGACTAAATGATGACCATGATTCAATCATTTCTGATCATGTAATAGCCCCCAACCCTGTAGCATGATATTGTCCGCTTTGCCCTCGGGCTTACGGTTTTGTTTCTTGGGACACCCCACAAAAGGCCTCACACTAGAAGAGGTATCCACACCCTTATAAGGCATTGTTTCGTTCCCCTCTCCAACCGATGTGGGACGTTACAGATTATATCCAATTCTTTGGGCTGTGATCACTATCAATTCCCAATTTTTGAGTGGAAGTGCTTTTCAATTTAAAGATTATCATATCATGTCAAAACTAACTAGTAATAGTTACGGCAATAAACATTAGTTATCTTGAAGACACATGTTCTATATATTTAGGACTAACTAGGGTTTTGAACTCTTGAAACTAGACTTTGGATTGAGCTTTTATCTTATGTTTGATTGCTTTAGTTGCTGATTGTCGGTTATGGTTAATCTTCAGAATTTTATGTAGTTTTGATAGATTTTTGTTTTTATATTGCCTAATTAAGTTTGTGAATATGTCGGTAGGTCAAAATGACAACATGTGACGAAGATGATTGAAGACCACAAGAAAGAATGAAAGGAAAAAGTTAGTTACTGATGTCTGCAAGAGTTGCTACTATGGCAATGATAATTATCGCTGGTTGAGTACAAAATGCAAAAATAAAGAAAGAAAGAAAAATGATATTTTTGGGTCTCTTAACATTCCTTGCCTTAAAGTAAGATTCAGGGAGAAAATTTGGGCAATGAAAAGGCTCTTCTTACGTATAGAAGCATCCAAGATTCAACTGATTTTGCATCTTATCAATGGAGTTCTTTCATGGAACTTTCGGTATTTGTTACCACCACTTTGGATATGTTCAATGTGCTACAAAAATAGCTAGCATCACTCAGATTGACTTCTCAATCTCAGAATGAAGCCCTTCTCAGGTCCCACTCACGTGTAAAATGTTTGAATGGAATGTGGTATCTCGTATCTAAGCCAAATTTCGAATCTTAATTTTTTGGTTACTTTTGACCAATTTCTTCTTTATTATCATGATTAACTGAATGCTGGTTAACAACATCTCTTGATGATACCATGATTCTTCCGTGGACAATTTACATTCCTCAATTTTGTTGATTCTTTTTAGTTATAATGTCGGAAAGTAAATAATGGGTTGTTTGGATTTTGTAAAACGGGTTTTGTACAATGAACCGAGTCCCCTGTGGATTATGCTCAAAATAATGGAATGCTCCAATAGCAAATGTTAGTCCCTGTAATTAATAAAATTTCTGATATTTACTGGAATAGTCATGATGCACAAGGGAGAGAGTTCTTGCAGCTGTTCAAACATAGGTGCTTGACAATTGCATATAATGCCTGCATCAAGGGGTGTCATTGAACCATGGCGATTGGTGCATGGTTGCATAAGGCCTAGTTGGCTAGGTGTGATGTGAACCTTTCACCTCTGATGCTTGAGTTATGTGGAGGCCAAATCAGACCATTAAAATTCTCAGATTCTACTGTTGTTTTGCTATTTGTACCGCAAGGTTTCTACTAGGAGAAGGATCTGTTTACAATTTTTTTTTACAAATTACACTAAGTATGACCGGTTATACACTCTTGATTAAAGTATGATCAGTCGTACTTAGTGTAGTTTGTAAACAAAAAGTTTATAAATATAACTTTCCCCTTCTACTAATATGTATATATATTAAAAGTCCTCAATGGCAAATAATAATGAGTCCTTTTTGCTTCTGGACGTAAGCATTGTTATAACATTTTTTATACGTCAAAAGATTCACTTCCTTAATTTTGTTGATTTATTAAACCGTCATGGAAAACCTGACCTTTGATTAATTACGGCTTTATCATTAATAAAATAGTTCTTATGTGCATTACCTTTTTGTTGTTTGTGACTAAATACCTAACACTTAAGAGAAAATGAGAACCATCAAGTGTGATATAATGATTTTCTACGTTTGATGGAATCACTCTTGACTGACTGATGTCAAATTATCATCCTGTACTACTTTCTCCATATCTGAGACACAGATAAACCATAAGATTACATATTTTACTTTCCTTCTCCAAATTTAGCTAATAATTGATTGACAAGCCGATTGAGAGATCTTATACCTTCCTGCAGTACTCTACCTGTTTCAAATGTTACTGTGTTTATGCAGAATTATAGATAGTCATTTTCTATGACCAACTTCAAAGTGATTTAGATTGGATAATGCACTATGCTAAAGTAGGGTGTGACACGGATCTTTTAGATGTCATTTCTTATTTAGATGAAGTATTAACCTGATTTCATTGGTCTTGTAGGTCCTCAGAGTCAGAACACATTGCCATCCACCCACTTTCTATTACCAATTATTTTGGTCTTACTCTTCATTATGTGCATTAACTAAGCTTAATCCTCATTATTATTTGATTTTAAATTGTGTCATCCTCTAGAACTCATTGGATGATGAATATCCCTTGGTTGGCTCAAATATAATGGTATGCTAATGCTTCTGATCTTCCTAAAGCACCATGGAAAAATTATGATTATTATCACTCAATTAGAAAAATCTTCTTGTTATGTGCCACTAGGGCCTTTTTAGAAAATTATTCTGATAAATGTCCTCTCTAGTTGTAAATTCTTTAGGGAGAAATGAAACAACAGAATTTTGGTTTCAAAGGCCTCAAAAATGATCCACAATTGTTATTCTGGGATAAAGGATTCTGAGCATTTAGCCTCAACGTCTGGTTGCTATCTTTGATCAATGTTATTTTCCTTGCTTCTTATCATGTGGCATATTCCTTTTGTTTAGGCAATTGAAATTTATGCTGAAGTAACACTTGGAGTTAGTATCCTCTAAAACTGTGATAAAAAATAAGAAAAGTCTTGTACATCCAACTTGGTCAAGGGAGAGAGTTGTTGATAAAAATCTCATTACATAAGTTCCATCAAAAGGCTAATATTCTAGTATTATTCCTCAGTTGAATTAGCACAAAAACTCTTCAAATTCTCGTGCTATGTGTATGGGAGCTCCGCCAGAATTTAGATCTACCTAACTCTATGCAGTGCTAAATAAGCAACTAGTCGATAACCCACCAACATCAAGGCCATAATGGACACATCAACCCACATATAATTCAAACCCATTGATTTGATTGGAGGAAAATCTGCAACCTTGCACAACACCCCGTTTGAGCATTCATAATAATCATTATCATTGTACTGAACACCGAGAAGTAGCTTGTAACAGTAGTAGCTATAGCTCAAGTACTTGAGCCATGCTATGAAGGGAGGAATCTGTTGTATATAGTACCCTCCAGCAATGAGAAATACAAGGGTTGTGACAGAAGCTAGAGTAGTGGCCTGTTTAATCTCCATCAAAATAGCACCAAATGCTAAGCCAAGACTTTGAGATACAAGAACACTGTAAAGAACCACAAGAAGTGAAAGGATAAAAGTCAAAGGATCAGGTTTAAGCCCTCCCATCCAATAGATTATGAAGACAAATGCAGTTGGAAGTGCAAGCTCCAGTGGCAAGTCTCCTATTGTTCTAGCAAGGAAATAGGAAGAAAGCCGGTACATTCCTGATGAACGTTCCTTGATCAGCATTCTCCTCTCTTGAGGAAATGTGAAAACTGCATTGTAGAGAGGGTAGAATCCCCAGAAAACAGAAAAGAAAAAGAGCAAGGCAACCTGCATTACACATACAACCCCATATTAGTCCCTCTTAAGGGCAACACTTGATAAAAAATGTAGCCAAGCAATATTAATCTTAGTTTGATTTCTTGGAGTTGAAAATATGTGATGTTGACTTGAATATGAAAAGGAAAAGAAAATTTCAGTGAGGTTAAAGGCTTACTTATATTACCAGAACTTCTTGAGTTAGATGATGTTATTATTAGTTACCACTTACAATCAACTAAAGAAGATAAAATTGAAGCAAATATTACTTACCCGGTCTTCAATATGTGACTCTGGTGTATGCCACCACAAGAGTCCACCAAGAAACGCCACACTTATGACTTGGAATATTCTCAGCCTGTTGAAGGCTTCATGCCTTCGCTCCCTCACTCCCCTCTGTAATAGTACCTTGAACTGATGCCACCAGCTTGTGCTCCATTGCTCTGATTTTATGGGAATTCCTGCATCAATTTATCAATAAAAAGTTATTTCAGACCAGTTAAGACTACTTTTTTCCAATGATTTGTTTTTTCCTTTAAAGATAGAAAACCTACTTGAGCAAGCATCTTTTGTGATGTTGTAGTTGTTCACTTCCAAGCTGCAAACCTCAGCTTTCAGCCTTGTAGCTATGTTCTTGTCATAAGCAGATATTAGAGATTCTCTCACCAGCTTCCTCTCTTGTTCCAGCCCCTCACTTTGTTCAGTTGAATGCTTGGAGTCCGGGGCAATCCCTGCAAATTTTCCATTTTTTGTCATGACATTGTTAGTATTGCTTTCTTCAAAATAATACTCTTGAGTCTGTCTAAGACTTGGACTATGCATATAAATAATTAAAGAGATAAATATGATACATGGTTCTCTCTAAATTAGCCGAGTTCCCTCTAGATTTTCTGTGGTAAATTTCAGGAAGTTTAGACCACATCTCCATCTCAAGTAAACAAAAATGTATTTTTTGTTTTTGTTTTAATAGAACCATTTAAGCCATAATAAATAGAAAAAAAGTGTGTCTCCAGCTTCCACTTTTTTAAGTCCAATGTAGTTATTAACTATCATTACACAAAAACGAAATCAAACAAATGATTACTAGGAATTACCGTTGGCAAGATCAAGCAAGAGATCAGCTGGATTGACAGTAACACATGTTGAAAAACCAACAGATGAGAAGTACTCTAAGGCAGTTGAAGCAGGACCATAATATATGGGGCACCCTTCAGAGAGCAACACCACCTTATCAAACATATAGTAGAGGCGACTTGAGGGTTGATGAATGGTGGTGACAACAGTTCTACCACCACTAGCCAAGCGTTTGATTGTTTTTAGGATCCTTTGAGCAGTGGTGGAATCCAAACCTGAAGTGGGCTCATCTAGCAACAAAAGGCTTGGATTGATGAGCATTTCTTGACCTATGCTCACCCTCTTTTTCTCCCCACCTGATATTCCTCTGAAAAGTGGTCCTCCTATCATGCTGCTCCTGCAACGAGTTAGTCCTAGCTCAGTGATAACTCTCTCTACATGCTGAACTTTTTCATCTCGGGTCAAGCTGTTGGGAAGCCTTAAAAGTGCAGTGAACACTAGTGTTTCTGTGACTGTCAGATGAGGGTATAGCACATCATCCTGAGCCACAAAACCTGTTCTTCTTTTTATGGCACCTGAGAAAGGCTGAGAGTTGTATGTGATCTTTCCAGATAGTTTACCACTGAGACGGCCTCCAAGAGCTGTGAGAAGTGTGGTTTTGCCACTACCTGATGGTCCCAGCATAGCAAGAATTTCTCCTGGGCATACAACACCTGTGATTCCATTCAATATGGTCTTCTCTTTGCAAGTCCATGTACTGCCCCAACACATTCCTTTCTCCTCTAGTTTAACTTTGTACACCAATTCCTCAAACTGCAAACCAAAACAGAACAGATGCTAAAAAATTAGTAACAAAATTTATCACATGAATGTCTATAGTGCTGTCATGGAATCAATGTAAGTATGGGATATATGTACTACTGAAACTCTTGTTTTTGTGAAAGGTAAGTTACCTTCAAAGTTATGGGGTGCATAGTGAGTTTTGGGAAAGATTGTTCATTGGTTCGTATGGGGTAGGCAAGGACACTTGAGTTATGGGGCTCGGTCATCTCTGGTGGTCCTTCCACAGAGTGGCTATTGCAGTATTCAGGTTTTGGTGCTATGCAGTTCTGTGGCATGGCTAAAGAAGTGAGAGATTTGCAGTCTTTTGGTGGTGATAATAGTGATGGAAAGTGATGATTGGAGGTTGAGAGAAGTTAAGATGTTCCTTTTAACTTAATTTCCCAATGTGTAGCAAGAAGCAGCACATAAATATATAGCACAGACTAGGATGTGTACTGTGTGCCAAGGTCGTATTTAGGCCCCTTGGAATGGTGGAATCCCACCTTTTTATCTCAAATTATTCTAGCACGACCTAGCTCACCCAAAAACTTTAGAAATTCTGAACCGTTGCTTAAGATCACTTCTTGTTTTCTTTTTCACTATTTTTGACACGTTACTTTTTTTCTCAGTTTACCTTTAATAACATTACTATTTTCTCTTAATATCTGTCCTTGCTGAGCAAGGGCACTTAAATACTTTTTAAGTTGATTTGAAATTAGGACATGTCACTGAGAAATATTAAAATTGACACGCTAGCCATGCTCCAATGATAGAAACACCATTTACATTAATAGTAGCTAGTTGATCCAAGGAACAATCTTACATGCAAACGAAACATACTGTAATTCGAAGAGGCAAAAACAGCCTCCACTTCTGTAATAAATTTTAAAATTTTCTTCCTCTTGGGATTTTCAATCAATATTTTACACAAGGCCCTAGAGTAATGTCTGTTATAATTTCAAGCCACAATAACAGAAGCAAGAAAATAAACATAGAAACCAAGCCACACAACAAACAAGAAAGTGAATACAACATTGTATCTGTATGTATGTATGTCCGTGCATATAGATTGATTTGCCAAAACAAAGAAAGTGCTATAGTACCGTCTATCGTGACAATGATAGTATTTTGTAGCATTTCTCTCTGTAAAGAACCTTGGGATACACCACTCCAAAAGCTAGTTCAAAGGATAGGAGTGTCCAAGGCTTTATAAACTCCACATTAGTTGCACATACAACCAATGTGGGACTATATATCTCAACACGCCCCCTCACACAAGAGCCCATTGGGCTTGAAGAGTGGATAATGCACAGGTCCACCTACTTGTGCGAACAAAGAAATTCCACTTGAAAGAAAGTGGGGGGCAACGAGGATCGAACCCGGGACACGAGACTCTGATACCATGTAAAGAACCTTGGGATACACACCCCAAAAGCTAGCTCAAAGGGTGGGAGTGCCCAAAGCCTTGTAAACTCCACATTAGTTGCACATACAACCAATGTGAGACTATATATCTCAACACGCCCCCTCACACGAGAGCCCATTGGGCTTGAAGAGTGGACAATGCAACAGGCCCAACCTACCTGTGCTAAGAAACGCCACAAGAGCTAGCTTTTGGAGTGGTGTATCCCGAGGTTCTTTATGTACAAGTTCATGATTTATGAAGCAAGTAGGGGTCTCTTTAATAATTTAGTGATATGCCCTTGAGATTTTGAGCTATCTGTTGGATATGCTGTCTATCGTACGTTTCCATTTTTTTTCTTTTTAAAGATATAGTTTTCATGAATGCACTGTGCATACTATGTTGTGGCCATGTGAAAATGGAAAGATCGATAGTTGAATACTGCAGACAACAGAGTGACTATGATGGCTCTTCAACAATTTCAACAAATTCAATAGGACAAGCATGTAAATCATGGTGAATATGTCTTTATACATATCTGGCAGTTCTTCTTGTTAAACTTTTCTAACATTTATGGGATTTCCCTTCCCTTTTCTTTTGTATAATGGAAAGCTAGCTACCATATCCCCATGTGGCTTTCTCAACAAACTAATTTAGAAACTTAATGCTTGATTCACTTATTGAAGCATAATTGATCAGAAGTCTTAAGATTTATGTAAACTTGAGTTAAAACAAGTTTATGATGTAAGATGCAAACGTAATATCTAAAGTTTCTTTAAGGAAAAAGTGTTTTGGTTAAGCCACTTTTCATAGCTGAAATATGCAAAATCTTTCTGGAATATAATTACTGATTTATCCTCTCGGTGAAAACCATTACACAGGCAACTAATTATGATGAAATTTCCTTCGATTTCCTTCATACTTGTCTTATGTATGAAGACCAGAACCTACTACATTACGATTAAGGACATCTCGGTGCATGCATTTTTGTTTATTGGTGACTTATTTCACACCCTTTAAAAGATTTCTATGTAAGGACGAACTTAATTAGAAGCAAAGAGGATAGTACATATACATATTGAAATGAAGAGAGAAGAATATCTCTTAGGATCCAGACATCTGTGGTTGGTTTGTCATTTTTCACAACAGCTTATAAATAATCATGGAATTTTAATCTTACTTTTAAATATGAATGGATGAGGAATTTTGTTGTTTTCATTTTTAAAAATTTCACATTTGTCATTATTACTATATTTTGGTACGTTTGAGGACAATGACATGACTTTGTCTCCCCATGCGGTTGGTGTTAGTTATGGTCAAGAAGCAGTGAGTAAAAGAACCCTCCAAAATGAAACGAAAAGTGCTTAATATTCTCTTCCCTCTCTTTACTCTACATGTGATAGCCATCCATGAAAAAAACAAAAACAAAAACAAAAAAAAAAGAGAGAGAAAGAAGAAAATCAGACAATTAATTTCCTTAGTTTTAATTCCTCATTCCCATGGCAACTCTCTTTGCCTTGAATGTTTGGTTGGAAAGTTGTCATGTTCCTGATCTTAGAGAAGTGCACAAAGTTTATGCCTCACAGTGAAAACTTTACATTCCTCGAAGTATAAGCAGCAAGAATAAATTCCAAAAGGATGAAAGAACAGGAAAAGGGTACGTGGGGATTCACCAAAGAGAGATTGTTCATTAAACTTGTCCATACTTTTTTTGTGTTAGTAAATGCAAAGGAGAAATTAATGGTGCATTTCTTAGTAAAGCTAAGTGATTCTAATATTCCCTCTAGGAACGTGCTATAGATTATATAGCACTGTTATTTTCAACATTCGTATCACCGAAATTCGATATGACTGTTTTTATTATTATCATTCTCTGTTATCATAACACTCGTATGTTCAGTTAAAAAAGGCAAGTGATGCTAAGCAAGGTGTTTACCATTCTCCTCTTTCCTTTTTTAATCTAATAGTTTCTATTTAAGCTGAAAAAGAGAGGAATGATTAAAGGCAGAACCCATCAATCAGATTCCAATTTCTGTCCATAAAAATAATTTATTTTTCCTTTTGGGAGAGCACTGAGATAAATGGTATTTATAATGGGTCCAGTGTGAGTGTACCTTTTCAGTGTGGAAGAAGACTTGGAGCATTGCCCTTCTTAACACTAAGTGCGCATATGTGTTTTTTCTGTCATCAACTTGTATATTAATTTATGTATATATATGCATAATTAGGGCCGTTATCGTCCCTTTTCTTCCACTAGGACCCCTTACTTTTTAACATATTCTCATTCATTCCCTCTCACTTTCATATTTATATCTTAGGCATGGATTCCTTGTTTAATTTTGGGGTATATTTGCCCTTAGCTTAAGCCACACTAGCCATCAATTTGAACCTTCTTGAACCCACGTTTTAAGGGCCATATATTATAATGTGGAATATTTATGAATTTCAATACGGAATGTCCTCCTTTTACATCAAGGGTCTAGAGGGATTACATGATTAATAATAAGATTCATAAGATAAGTGTCTATTATAATGCAAGATATTCTGTTATCTTGTTTCATGATGGATAAATTGGTTCACTCCCGTGTCATTTGACTATTCTTATTCCTTATCTTTGATTAAGACTACTGCTATTGACAATATCGATGGAAGACTCTAGTGATAAATATTTCCCAGAGATTAGAGATTTTTATGGGGAACATATAAATCATATTTCCGATAACTATCATAACATATTTGGCCATATGATTTTTTGTTTCCGCATGTTAAAAAAAAGCACAATATACAGTTAACTTTATAGCATGCCCCGCATTTCAAATCGGAGAAGATTCTATGATAGGACAAAAATTGAAAAATGTTTGTGCAAGAACTTTCTAATGTTTGAATTATATTATTGTTCATCATGAATGCCTCTTCTTAGATGAGAGAAGGGCGTGCAATTCGACATGATGATTCTGACTAACTCAAAGGTCCGTAAGGTAGTGTGTGAAAAGTGATAATGGCATAGCATATGAAAATTTTGGACTTTGATTAGCATGCAGGAAGTTTTAATACACACATTACATGTAACTTTTGAATGGTGATGATTTTAATTTTAGAGCTTTCTAAACAATTGTTAAGTTCAAGGTAATAATATCCCAGTCCCCGATAAATTCATTGTTCTCTATCTTTCTTCCCTTTCCCCCCTCAAAGAAGTACTTATATCAATAAGGGTTAATCATGAGTTAAGTTAGGTTTAATTCACAGAAAAATTGAGTTCATTTTCTTAATTCAAAGCTCAGTTTATCTTTGATTGGCTACTACTCACTTTAATTTTTTACACTCAATGAACTTAGATTTAAATTTATAATCATATAAAAATTTTTGGCATATAGTTAGTTATAAAATATTTTGATTTAATCAAAAATTAAATGTTAATGTCAAAATGATTATATGTATGTATGTATTAGTGTCCCTCTCTTACGAACCCTAATCTTATATAAATTTCTTTTTTTCAAAAACAATAGTAAGATAAAGTTTTTATTTTGGCTCAGAGATTGGTATTCATTAACCAAATTACAATGGGAAACAACGAATATCCAAAATCACTCCCAACAAAAGGAGGAAATGTATCATTCCCCTCATGATTTCCTAACAAAAATTTAAGCGGAATAAAAGAGACTAAATACATCGCTGTTATAATTATTTTTACAAAACAAACCTTATTAAACAGATATTTTTGTTTTTTATTCTAAAAATCAAACAACTGTTTCCAAATCTCTCATTGTGTGTGTCTGTGTGTGCGTGTGTGGGGTGTTGCGGGTGGCTCCTTAGAATATTTTGAAAGCGTCAGAAGGCAAATAGGAGAAATTCAAAATTAACCTTTTGAGAATAGCAAGAAATAAATAAATATGTATGGAGAGTTCTGCATATCTAAGTGACAGTTCCAGTGAATGAAGCACACCTTAACTGAAAAATAAAATAAAAATCAAAGCACACTCCATATAAATTAAAAAAA